TATGCGCTACCATGCCTGGCTGATTTTTTTATTTATTGTAGAGATGAGGTCTCGCTGCCCAGGCGGGTCTCGAACCCACGGGCTCAGGTAATCCACTCACCTCAGCCTCCCAAAGGCACGGGATTACAGGCTGAGCCACTGAACCCAGTTTAGGGTAGCAATTTTTTTTTTTTTTTTTGAGTTGGAGTCTCACTCAGTCGCCCAGACTGGAGTGCAGTGGCCGCTCCCGGCCACCGCAGCCTCACCTGCTGGGCTCCAGCGATCCTTCTGCCTCAGCCTTCCGAGTAGCTATAATTACAGGCATGCGCTACCACGCCCGGCTGATTTTTTGATTTATTGTAGAGATGAGGTCTCGCCTGCCCAGGCAGGTCTCGAACCCGCGGGCTCAGGCAATCCACTCACCTCAGCCTCCCAAAGGCACGGGATTACAGGCTGAGCCACCGAGCCCAGCAGGATAGCAATTTTTAAGAGAATTCTTTGATAGACAGAAATGTTGGGTTATGAAGAAGGGAAAGAGTAACATATCAATCTAGGTCCTTGACATCTATACTCTGTGTTTCAAACCAGAAGACAGAAAAGAAACTCAGCTGGACTTCACTATACAGTTGTCCCTCCACAGTCTTGGGGGATTTGTTCCAGAACCCTGCCCCTACCCTTCTGAGCAGATAACAATTTATGATGCTCAAGTTTCATATATTAAAATGGCATAGTATTTGCATACAATCTATGTACGTGTTCATGTATACTGTATTTATTTATTTATTTAGAAACAGAGTCTTGCTCAGTCACTCGAACTGGAGTGCAGTGGCCTGATGATAGCTCATTGCAGCCTTGAACTCCTGGGCTCAAGTGATCCTCACTTCAGCCTCCTGATTAGGTAGGATCACAGGTGTGTGCCACCATTCCTAGATTATTTTTATTAAATTTTTATTTCGTAGAAATAAGGTCTTGCTATGTTGCCTTGGTTGGTCTTGAACTCCTGACCTCAGTTGATCCTTCCACCTCTTCCACCTCGGGCTCCCAAAGTGCTGGAATTCCAGGCATGATCTACCACACCTGTTCCCCCACACTTTAAATTATTTCTAGATTACTTATAATACCTAATATAATCTAAATGCCATGTAAATAGTTGTTGTACTATATTGTTTGGGGGGGGGTCTTTACATGTTTTGTTCAGGCGCAGCCATCCTTTTTCTTTCCTGCATGTTTTCAATCCATGTTTGATTGAATCCACAGATAGGGAATTCACAGAAACAGAGGGCCACCTGTACGTTTTGACTTCTATTTTGTGCTTCCGAATAGTTGCCTTACCTTTTGCTGTGTCTGAAGGTGTGAGAATAGTTAGGGTCAGCATGTAAGATGGAAGCAAGAAACCCAAAGGGGGACTACAGAGAAGTAGAAGTGAGGCAGGGATGAAATAACTGCCAGAGGAGTTATGACGAAAGAAAGGCTGAGAGGAGCAGGTAGGTGGAGCCCTCTGGGTGCTGTGAGCAGGGAGTTAAGGCTTTCTAGGAAGGGTGTTTCTCATGTGTAGAAGGACTTCCTGCCGTTGTCCCAGTTGTCTCTCCCTGAGTCATAGGGGGAAATAAAAGTTGCTGGATCCTAAGTCTGGTGTGCAGGAAGGAGAGGCATGGAGTCTAGGACTGGAACTCCTGGTTCTCTTGGAGGGGCTCCTTCCAAGGAGGAAGCAGCAGGGACCCAGCTGTTGCCAGCTGCAGTGGAAATTCTGAGCTCAAAGTCTCAGCTGCTCACAGCAAGCTCCACCCTGGGGCCTTGATAGGGATAGCGGCATGTGTGTCCTCTGGCCTATAGTCAGACTTCTCATGAGTCCCTCCCCTTGCCTACATTCAGGAGCAAATCCAAGTATGTAGCCCTGAAGGGTTAGGATAGCCACATCCATCCCCACCCCCTCTTAATTTTTTCTTTTCCCAGCCTCCAGGGCTTTGCTTGGCTCATTCTGTCTAATCCTTTGGGTCACAGAAGTTCCACTAAAAAAGTCAGTGAGAGGCCGCAAAGAGTAAAAACAAATAAATCAATCATCTTACAATCTTTAGGGATGAAAGGAGAGGTGGAAAAAAAAAAAAATGCTTGTTTGGGGTATTGTTCTCAAATTCAGTTCCTGCCAACTGTCTTCAGTTAGCTCTTATACTTTGGACTTTGTTAGTGATTTCTGTCCTGTCTCTTTAATATTTTCACCCTCCTGGAGTGCAATGTAGAGGCTTTTTTTTTTTTTTTTTTTGGTGGAACACCTAAAATAATCCCTGATCTGGGATACTCTACTACTCAAGTTTTGGGAGCGCCACATGGCTCTGCTACTGAAGTATAACTTTCAAAAAGTTGAAAAGCATGATTGTCATGCAAATATAGAATGAACATGTGTCAAAGATTTATTTAACTCATTAATGACGGAACCAGCAGGATAGTAAAATGAGTTCAAAAAGCTTTTGAGGAACTGAGTATTTATAGGCACTGAAGCAAGAATGTTGGAATAAGATTACTAGGTTAGATAAAAAGCTGGTACATGTCCTACAGGACAGTAAAACCAGTACTGTTGGGTTTATCTTTTACTGGTCAGAAATGATCTGCCTTTTTAATACTAAAAAGTCTCCGGTTTAACCAGGTTTGGTGGCTCATGCCTATAATCCCAGCACTTTGGATGACTGAGGCACAAGGATCACTTGAGCTCGAGAGTTCAAGACCAGCCTGGGCCACATAACAAGACCCTGTTTCTATTTAATATAACTTTAAAAATTTAAAAATCTGCAAGTCAATGTGTTTCTTCACTAAGTCTGAGCCCTAATCAGTAGTAAATAGTAAATCAAACAAAGAAACATTCCCTCAGATGATGAGGAATCCTCCTTGAGTGTGCCTTTTAGATAGTATTCCAGAATGACATTGAAAGGACATGCCTTCCTTTGCCTTATCAGTAAGTTTTAGACTAATTTTTTTGTCAGTGATGTTCTTAACACTAGTGTTCTCACTCCCCTCCCTAACACACCCAAATCCTGACAAAGTAGAAGCTTAAGAATATGGTAAGGCAGAGAGCCATTGTCAGTAGCTTAAAGTTGAGGTTCCTAGAATGTAAGAAAAATAATAATAAAAGCAATTAAGATTTTATTTCTTCTTCCTCCCCCCCCCCCCCCCCCCCCCCCCCC